CAACAACAACAAACCTGATTTGAAATGCCATTTTCCCTTTATTGAGCAGTACAATATTACACTTTCAAAAATTATACTAATATTTTTCTCTTTGGCATAAATAGCACAGTAAGGAGTGAAGGTATTGTAACGGTTCCTTTTAAGATAAATAATGAGTTTATGAACAAAGAGCTTTTCAATCTATAAATGATTTTCACTATAAATGACTATCTTTTAAAGCACACTTGAAGCTCTTAACATTCATCACATTATTCAATACAAAAGATGTTCAGTGATCAGCACAGTTTGCTGAAAATTCATTGTTTCCCCATTTTAGAATTTTCAAAATTAAAAATAAGTAGAAAGTCAGTCCTGGAACACTAATTTTACATTCCCAATAATACCAACAGAGAGTATTTATCTGCCAATATTGCACAACAAAACATGGTTCAGTTAATTCTCAAGAATATAAAAAAGTAAATTTTACATAATATTTATAATTCACCTATTCATAAGGTGGAGCAAAAAAAATGGCTTCCTGAACAACAACCTATCTTTGCAAATAGACACAAAGTAAAACTAAAAAGATTCAAACTCCTACAAAAAAAATCATGATTCAACAGTATACGAGTATATCAGCATAAATCATGCCATTAAAGTCACATACTATTAAATATTCACAAAAAGGACTTGAAGAAGAGCTGTGACAACTCTAGGGGCTTCACAGAATTATAAACAGCATCAAAACTATACGCAAAGATGTTGAGAAACAGATTCAATATAATAGATGAGAATTTCGTGGGAGAGGAATAGTGTGGGTTCAGAAAGGGAAGAGCACTAAAGATGCCATCTTCACATTACAGATAATAATAGAGACAAAAGACAAGACAGAAACTTACCAACTTTTGTAATATTCGTGGATTATGAAAAGGCATACGACAGAGTAAACAGACAGAATCTCTGAGAACTATTGAAAGAGGAGAAAATCCCAAATCAATTACTCAACACAATCCACAGTTTATATGAAAACTCCAACATTAAAATAATGTTAAGAGACGGGAGAAAGTCTGCAACAATAACCAGCAGCAGCCTAAAGCAAGGATGTTGTCTGTTGCCTATTCTCTTCCTATCACAATATATCAACCACCTAATGAGGAACAGGAGGAATAAAATTAAACAGGGTACCCAAATCAGGAAAGGCGAAAAGGTAGATACAATATTACATGCTGATGATCAAACAGTCATAACAGATTCTGAAGATGATCTACAAAGAGCAGTTTTTGAACTGACAAAAGAGGCCCAGAAATATTCTATGAAAATATCAGTTCAAAAAACAAAAGTTATGGCACTGCAAGAGTCAAAATTCTAATAAATGGAGAAATAGTGGAAAATGTCAACAAATTTTCATATGCTGGAAATATCATAAGTGTATTTAACCACACCCAGGAGGATTTAGAAAATAAAATGTATAAATACAACAGAATTGTGGAACAATTAAACAACACTTTGGTAAAGACATGGAAAAACAAAACTAAAAATTCACAGTATAATGGATGAACTTATAGCTATTTTTATACTCTGAGACATGGATACTGAAAGAGAGACAAACAAAAAAATACAAGTAGCACACATGAAATTTCTGAGACACCTTATAGGAGTTACAAGAAGAGACAGACTGAGAAACAAAGACATTAGAAAGAAACTAAAAACTAAAGACTTAGTTGAGAAAATAGAAAACTATCATAGCAAATGGCAAGTTCACCTTATAAGAATGAACAATAACAGATGGCCAAAACTAATATGGAAATATAAACCAACAGGGAACAGAGACATTGAAAGACCACAAAAGAAATGGCAACAACTAGAACACCTGAAAGACAAACTACCATGAATACTGCATTACTAGTGGAACTTAAGCCAAAACACCGTTCAGTCCATGATGATGATGATGACTACTGATGACTCACATACTACTAATATATATTTATTCAAATTCTGTGTTAAATAAAATAGTTGCAAATCCAAATAACTAATTTCTTACAGAAGATAGTTTGGACACAGAGCTTTTTGACAGACTTCAGTCGTTTCAGAAATTTAGAAATAAAATCACAAACTCACATAGTTATTAAGTAAAGTTTTTATTCTTAATTAACAAAGTTCTTTGTGCTACATTTCGAGCACATTTTTTCTCCATCTTCAAGCTACATTGAATATAATAGGAAAAAGTAACCTGAAGATGGGAAAAACCATGATCCTTGAAACATCGCAAAAATGAACTTTGTTAATGAAGAATGGAAACTTTAAAGTTCATGATTATGTGATTTTATATATAAATTTTTGGAACAACTCATGTCTGTCACAAAAACTTTGAGCCCAATCTATCTTCTGATAAGAATAGTGAAAGACAATTTCATGGTTTTTATGTATAAATAACATTTTTCTTTAAAATACCAAAATTAGTGATTATGCGTAAGGGATAAAGAGTACTGACACTTGAATAAGCAGCATTAGCAGATAATTATTCTCCATGCACCCTGTACATGAAATGGGTACAGAAGTGACAGAATCTACTAGGTTGTCCTGGAGACACTGCATCCTAGGGACACATACCAATGTTTCAGCTGCCATGCTGCAACCTTCCTAAGGGCAAAATATTGTGAGGCATTTCCTTAACAGCCAAGTAGATACTGACCAGCTGTGGAAGTCTATGCTTTCAGAAGTGGCAGGATCAATCAAGAACACTGATCAGAATACTTTTAAGGACTGATTCTATACACAGGGAATATAGCTAGGAACAAATAATTCAGAATAGCAGATAAAAAAAAAAGAATGAAATACACCAACATTTCTCTAAAGCAAGAGGTTGGGATAAACACATTGGTTCTGGAATCGAGTAGCATTATATTCCTTTTTAAGTGGATATTAATATCAATTTATCATGAGAAACTGCTGAAACATGACAGTAAAATCATATTAACCAGGGAAGGATTCACAATATTTCAACTCAAGTAGAAATGTATTCTTTCTCCAAATACACTGAATGAATGTTATTATATCACTGCAACTAAAATGACACCGTAGTAAACACAGTCCAATTATTTAGATACTTCCCTTTCATTTGGTATATTTGTTTTGCTTATAGCGACATAAAATCAAGTTTCACAGAGAAAAAATCATACTAGTCAAAAAGAAAAGGAAATTTAAGATTACCATCAGACATTATTTTATAAAAGCATACAAATACAAAAATAAAGAAGCCACAAAGAAATAAATGAGCCAATGAATTCACAAACTGAAAATACACAGAGCGTAAAAAGGCAAAGCTCCTGACATCACAGAACATAAAACCAAATGGCCAAGGAAGAACAAGAACACAAATGGCGGTGGGAGAGTGATAATAATGGTTATTACTTAGACAAAACCATACCCAAAAATATCAAATCAATATCCATGAGAAAGGACACTGAATTTTACAAACCCAAATAAAGTTAATATGAGAAAGTCAAAGAATCAAAAAGAATGATACACGCAAAAAAGAAACTGCATTTATATAATTCAGATACCTAATTTCATCAGCACTGCCATTTCATATCCTTAAATCTGAATGAGAAAGCATTGGTATAAAAATGCTCTACATGAATGTACTCTGAATGTAAAAACTCTGAATGTAAAAAAGCTGAAAATTATTACAAATTTGTGCACTAAAATGAAGATATATTACATCTTCATTTTAGTGCACAAATTTGTAATAATTTTCAGCTTTTTTACATTCAGCATGTATCACAATCTCTTCAATATTTGACACAAACTTTATTTTGAATGCGAATTACACGTGTGAAAAGTATTCTTGCTTATTAGCTGAATGCTTAATGTAATGTTCCAAAATATGTCAATTGATTCTAAGGTGTTCAGGAGAAATTATTTCTAAATTGATTGTCTTAAGCACTGCGTAATCAACACAGCTTGCAATTTTGGAAGAAATAAAAGCGTATGTTAAAAACACGGAATAACAGACATTGAGGAGGAACTCATTGGAAAAGGGGAGAAAAAATTTAAACCTGTTTTGAATTGCACACATTTATCAAGAAATTCAGTCAGTACATATTAAGGACACTTTGAATGAAACTGATGAGACCAAGAAACTCAAACTCTACCAAAGATTACATTTGTTCAATTAAATTGTTTAAAACACACAATACTAGTTTACATTGGTAACGGCAAGAAATAAATTTTCCTCTGGAGGAAAATTGTAATAATTTTTCAATAATTTTGCAAATTCCATTTTACAAATAATTTTGTAATTAGTAGATAACTTCAAAACCAAAAATGAAATGTCATCATAACACATTTTTACACAATGTTAATATCTGAAACAAAAAACAAACCAATAAAATAGCTTCTCAATCACTACACTGTTGCAATATCTAAAGGCACAACAATAAGATTAAAATAAATTCTATTTACAGTATTTCATGATTATTACAATTAGGATCAATTTCACTCAAAAGTTAAATATACAACACGACTCATTCTCAATAAACAATACATAATAAATATTTACCACCTGAGGTATTTGACTGCATGAATAATCACATGGAGCATATTAGATAATATCCATCAGTTTCAATTTTATAACATCGCGAAAAACAAGTACAATTATTTGAATTCACCATTGACGCAATGAATATTACAGTGAGTTCGGTTCACATCAATTGCTAAAAATAATTTTTTTGTTCTTCCCAAGTGCTTTTGAGCAAATTTTTCTCACAAATATCGTTAATTTCTTATCTTAATGTTTTACTGAACTTTTTAAAACGTGCTGACTGTAATGCTAAATAAGCAAATAATTCAAATAAATAAAATGCAATTGTGTAACTCTTCACCATCACACAATAGTAATTCTATGTACAATTTACAACTTCAAAAATAGTTCTTCCAAAACAGGAAATTCATAGAACATTAGAACAAATTTTGCTCAGGTAAAAATATTTCTACAATTCCCAAATACCAATATCACATCTTTAGCATGTCTTTCCTGTATCCTCTTTCAAAGTGACAGTACGATTAAAAACAATTTTCTTGGGAGTGCTATCAGTGTCAACAGAAAAGAAACCAATCCTTTCAAACTGAAACTTGTCATAAATTTTAGCAGAACTAATAGATTTGTCTGCTGAAGCTTCTATAATTTTCAAGGATTCTTTATTGCAGTCAGCAAGAAATCCTCCATGGGCTTCACTTTCTGGATTTTGATGCATGAAAAGTTTTTCATACAACCGTACTTCAACATTCACAGGATCTGAAACCCAGTGAATGAATGCTGCTGGTTTATGATTTGCAACTGGCTGGCATGTCACTTCTAATTCAATCACATTATTTGAAGCATCTTTCACACTCTTTGTAAAGAAAATCACATAACCTGTATGACGAAGCCCAACAGGTTGAGTGGGAGTCAACCTTCTATAACCTTTTTCCATTACTTCTTTGAAATCACTTCGTTCAATGTAAACAATTTTATCAAAACCTACAGAATGAGAACCAAGTTTGGGATCTTTTGGAAAGTTAGGGACTTCTACATTAGTTTTCTGTGGATGAGGAAAATTAGATATGGTTACTTTCAATGGTTCTAGAACCACCATAGCTCTTGGAGCAGTAGTGTCCAACACATTCCTTACAACTGCCTCTAACATTTCTGGATCAACAACTGACTGAGCTCCAGTTACTCCCATTTGGGCACAAAACATATTGACTGCTTCAGAAGGAAAACCTCTCCTCCTTAGTGCAGTTAGAGTATATAGTCGAGGATCATCCCAATCTTTCACAATACCTTCTGTGATTAGTTTGGCAATTTTGCGTTTAGATACCACAGTATAATTAAGATTCAATCTTCCGTATTCCCACTGCACTGGACAATAAATATCTAAAGCATTACACAGCCAATAATAAGAAGATCGTCGACTTTGAAACTCTTTTGTACAAAGTGAATGAGTAATATTTTCAATAGAATCACAAAGACAATGCGTGTAATCATAGGTGGGATATATACACCACTTGTTTCCAGTCCTGTGATGAGGCAGAAATTTTATTCTGTAAGCAACTGGATCTTGTTTTCCTTCTTCAAGAGTAATTTTCATTCTTAGTGTTGCATCACCTTCATCAATCTTACCATTTTTCATATCATTAAATAACTGCAAACTTTCTTTGATTGGACGGTCTCTCCATGGAGATGGTGGGGGATTAAAACCTTTCATTTCTTCTGATTTCTGATGACACACATAGGCAAGGCCTTTTTTTATTAACACAATTGCCCACTCATACAACTGATCAAAATAATCAGATGAATGTGTTACTTTGTAAGGCTTATAGCCCAACCATTCAACCATTTCCCTTATACCCACAAAGAACTTTTCTTCTTCTTTCTCAGGGTTTGTGTCGTCATATCTAAGATAGCACACTCCATCATATGCAGCAGCATATCCAAAGTTTATATTAATTGCCTTAGCATGACCAATATGCAATATGCCATTTGGTTCTGGAGGAAATCTTGTAATAACTCTATTCCCAGTTGCTTGTAAATGCTCTTTCATTCGAAGCATTGTATTAGGTGTCATTACATAACCCTCAGTTTTGTAATTTTCACCAGGTTTGTGAAAATGTACCTTTGTTTTCATTAACTCGCTTATTGTGATCATATTCTGAACACCATTTTGTTCAATGTTTTCCGAACCTGGTTTATCACCTGCAGCAGCCTTCTTTGCCTGAATTGGCTTTTGTGAAGAACCTTTTGTTTTCTTTTCTGGTTTGGAAGCAGGTAGGAGGTCACTTTCTGATTTAGGTCCTAATAAATCAAGAACCTGTAAATCCACCTCATTCTTTAATGCTTTACCATCAGCCCACTTCAGGGCAGTACGGGCATCTTGCATAATTAATCCCATGTTAAATCGATACCTTTTCTCCAACAAATCTTTTTTATGTTTTGCTATAACTTTTTCCACTACTGTTTCAATATCTTCGGGAGTAACGATTATACCAATTCCACAGGAATCTTCGAATCCTTTCACTTCAAAGTTTGTAGGATGCGCAAGCAGATACTCCAGACCGGCTTCTAATCGTAATGTTGAATCAATCTTTGAACTGCAGACATATTTCACCAAAACCGGAATATAACTTTTAATTTGGGGTTTAATTTTAGTTGCTAAATGGTACAAAAGAGAATTGCTATCTTTGGGAATTTCACCATGCTTTTTTGCTTCACATATGGTTAAATACAAATTATCCGTCACAGTTTGATTTTTTAACGTCTCTGTTGCTTTCTGCTTACTCAGGCCTATAGTCATAAACAACTCCACCAGTTCTTCCTGACTTCCAGTCATTTTTTCACCTTTCACACCTTGACCACGCGTTCAGCACAATTCCACACAGCGCGCACAGCCAAGCACGTCACACACGTCATCTGTCGCTGATCCACAGAGTTTAGTAACTAAATTCTCTTACACGAAGCACTTGTATTGGTCAAAGAGTATGGCAATATCCAGAATGACGTCACGTTTGGCGGAAAAATGTTTGGTGGCAAGCTCTGGAGTGAGCGCAACAGCATTAGTAAGTGATTAGTAAGTTATTGGTCCGATTACGCGGTTGCCAAGGTTTGTATTTCTTGTCACATTTGTTATTTACAATGATATTTGCTTTCTTACTGTTTTTTAAAGAGCTGACTGCGCTTATCGTTTACAAATTTGAATTAAAGAAGACCAATTCTATCAGATATCAAGTCACTACCTTTTCATTTCGAAAATGCTTCGCAGTAAAAATTAGTATCATGCTACCGATAAAGCCAAGGCACTACTTTATAATAAAATTAAATTTATGAAAGATTTGCACACACCTTTCATCGAATATGAAGTGTCAACATAACGAATTTTGGGCCCCAGAGCTTTTCGAGCCGCCTGGCAACTTTTTGAAAATTATTTTATAAAACTGTTTAACTTATTATCATTGCGAGAAATATTACCTACATCAAATTGTAATTGATTAGAGATTCCGGACGCGTCAACTGCGAAGGCCATTACTCCCGTATGTGTAGTGCATGCTTTTCTTCGTTGGAGCTGACCGTGTTCCTCCTCCGCTGGATTGTGAGATCCGGCACCGACCTACCGTCAGCTAGCGGGGTTTCCCCCCAACCAAGTACCTCCCACCAGCGGGGTACCGCTAGTGTTTGTAAGTAAAGGGCAGGTAAAGGGTGAGGATAGGAAGAGGGAGAGAAGATCGCGCGCGGTCCCAAGTTCGTTTGTTAGGGTACTGTTCCGGCATTCGTCATGGTATTAATAAAAAACACATAGAAAACTACCGATCAGAGCAACCGGCCGCTAGAATTCTCTTCCAGACAGCAACTGAATTCGACCTAGCTATTGTCGAAAATCTTATCACCGACGGCTGCAGTGACATCAGGTAATACCCTGAGTCACCTTTCCTCGTATTAAAATGTAATAATATTAGGAGGTAAATTCAGAATATTCAAAAATACAGTACCAAAAAGTTTCAAAATTTTTTGCGAAGTGGAGCCTTAAACACGAACTTTATCAAAATTTGTTATAATTCAACTTGTAATTTTTCAATGTATCAATTATAATAAATATATGGTTATTTAAAAATATAAATAAATATTACTTTTTTATCATATTACTAATAATAATTGTGAAGTTTCCTGTGCTGAATCCAAATTTTGAGACTAGAATTGCAAATATTCAGGCCACATGTTTAAAATTTTAGTTGTACATCCTAAATGACATTTTTACGTAACAATTTGCAGTATTTTACAGCACAAAAATTACCATCAGTTTCGGTGACGATTAAAAAATAACAAGGTAACATTTTATTATCAAACGTTATACTTTAAATATATTTTGCTTTCAAAGTTTTTATGAATATTTGGAGCCAGTTGTTAGGATACAATTAGCACAAGACTTGACAAGCCTGGTGCAGAAATAAACAGTTGATTTGGTACGTAATATGTAAGCTTAGCTTTTACACAAATAAATTCTTGAAAGTTTACATTATCTTAGTGACTCATACATATGAAGCTGTGTTTGTTCAACATATTTAGACACTGTGTATAAACGGCAATTTATCTATTATGAGAGCAATGTTATTTTAAGTGTTTTATTTATATTATTGCAAAAATGATAAAAGTATGAATAAGTTAGCACATGAAACGTTTGAAAATGACAAGAAAATGTTCAGACATTTGAACTGCGATTTACGAAGATAGTGGTACTCAGTGCCGGGGCTAGGTATGGGCAGACCGGGTGGTCCTTAGTGACTTGCAATTAGAACTCGAAAAAATCATTATCATAAATCGCGGTACATTAGTCAGATGTTTAATATATAAAAACCAATGTTTTTGGTTCATGTTTAATGCGCTGCCATACCGTTCATCCGATTGCAATAAAACTTTGTCAACTCATTGCTTGCGCTTCCTGGAAGAATATGGGCATATTACAATGGGAATGTGCATATGCCTGCGCACATAGACGCGCGTTAGTGATGATTTTATGTAGACTCAAGGGCCCTGATCAGGGCGTTTTACGATATATGCAACCCGCCGCGCACTGAAGTACGATTATGAAGACGTCTTTGTTGCGTATTCTGGCCCTCCGATTGTGAAATATCTCCAGAGAGAGAGAGAGAGAGGGAGGGAGAGAGAGAGCGAGGCGGAACCACACTAGCGAGAGTCCTTCGTCTATTGAATTTTTTGTAGAGCGTAGCGTAAAAGGTGATTAACAATCACGTGACCAGTAGCATGTGAAGTGTAATACGAGCGAAGCATTGCCGGGTCCCTAGTATTTCATAACATTTTCTGTTAATATTTTTACCGTCAATGTAATTTTAGTCATTACTTATAACTATATGAAATTAATAAAAACGCTAGCTTTAAAATAGGCTCTACTGAAATTCATATTTATTATTTTATGTTTTTAAAAATTAATTTTATTAAATACTAACTAAACACAAACTGCTTTAGCGATTTAAGTTCGCCATGGATTATTATATTTCTACAAATGTATTACAGTAGAACCGAATCCGAGGCCCACCAATTCGAAATTTCGGATAATCCGAACAAATTTCGGGATGGAGGGAAATAAACAAAATAAATAAAATTATTATTTCCAGTGTAAAGAAAGAATTTTATAATTACTGTAGAACTCAACAACTAATGATTTAAACAAGTTGTCGAAATGAAACATTTATTTCACTGGTAATGACGGAGTATATCACATAGTATGTTTATGTCGCAGTAATTTTCATTTAGAAGAACTTGAAAAATTGGTTATCTTTTGCCGTAAGGAACTTAATAAGTTGGATGATGCGATCGCTACTCCATCTTACCATTTTCCTCCTTCGCACTCTCCGTTACGAAGTAATTCTATTCTGCTGGTAATTCTATAGATGTATTTGTATATGTATGGTACATGTTTTCGGAAAATCCGAAAATTTCCGAATCCGATCAGACCGCACCCCAATTAGTTCGGAATATCGGGGTTCTACTGTATTTGATCACTAATACTTTTCAATTTAAAACTATTATTTAAAGTATAATTCCAAAATCTTTTTCTAGTTTAAACGTAATTTTTGTTAGTTGTTGAAATAAAATATCTCGAATAGTTTCTTGATACTACTTTCACATTTTTTATTTTTTTGGGGAGGGGGTTACGTTACAGCATTGCCCCGGGCCCAAAATTGTCTAACCCTCGCTTCAAAGCAGAAATACACTGGTGTCGCTTTTGTCCGGAGGGTGCTATAATTTTACATTATATGTGTAGAATGGGCTAAAAATGCAAACTGTCTCCCTTTTACCCCTGTCCATACCGAACACAACTTGGGTAACATGAAAATAAAACTTTATTTTAGAGAAAAATGCATTTATTACTTCAAGAAACGTGTCCAAACAATAGTGCTTGTGCAACACTGGAAATCAATATTAGAACTACAAGCGCGGGAAATGAATATACCTGACACAAACACTACACATAAAAACATGATAGTCACATATCAATACAGATTTGTTTTTATTACTTAGTTTTTATTAATTTATATGAATTGCTTTCATTTTATATTATATTAGATATAATATAAAACAACCTTCAGTTTGTTCGGACCCCAGCCGCCACTGATTTTAACCATTACGTCGCGACTTCAAAGATGACCTCGGACAAAGGGAATAGTGTTGCCCTCAGCAGCACTGAAAGTCACGCATTCTTGACATCTCTGTGCTGAAAATGGGCTCTGCTGACAGATTCGGCATCACTAGCGCCCCAACTGATGAAGCAAGCTGACAGGACCATCGTTCTACCAGAACTTACTAGCACGAGGAAGCTGGTGAAAAGCTTGTGAAAGCTAGAAATTTACTGGCTTGTCCGCTCTCCGAGCATCTTGTCGAAAGCTTAAAGAGACCCTTGCGACCCCGCGACTCTAGCGTTTTACACCAGAATAGGGCGTGACTGATTTCACCCTCCAACACGCACTTTAATGTTTTTGGAGAAGTGAATACGAACTCCCTGGAAGCAGCACCTGTAGAAACGGCTGACCTATCTAACAATCCCCGAAGTATGTACCGGAGGGCAACCGGCGGTTCCTGGTACAGGCGCAGCTTCGGCCGCGGCGAGGTGGAGATGGCCGACGACCCAGGGATGCAGGCAACTGCATTGGTAAATACGTCAACGGATGATGCGATGATCCTATCCTTTCGAGCAGGTCCAGGGTGACGAGCACATGACACCTCCCCCAGGTCCAGTTCCTCCCCAGATAGATTCTCCAAAAAACTCCTCCTGGGCGGCGAATTCCATCTGTGAAAAATGGAGTAACACCAAAACCGGCCACTGCCCCTAAAGCATCAGACACTCAAAACCGCTTCCAACCTCTCTCTCAGTTTCAGATCCTCAATCAGCTTCAATTACATCCGACAATCCAAACTTTCTCAAAGACTCCCCGTCCCTCCCAAGACCATCAAAACAGTGAAAAGGAAGGATGGGACCAGTCAGGATCAGTTTGGCTTCAATTCTTGACCCAACTGAACTAACAAAATACTTAATGACTGCAATAATAATCACATCACAAGGTACATCAAAAACCCATTCAACCACAACCTCACCAGACTCCACATCACCGAAATGCAACGACGAGACAAATGGACACAGACACCACTAGGCATTTACACTGTGGAGACGAACAAAAAGGAAAGTACAGGCATTAAAGCCAAACAACTATACTAACTACTACAAAATTACAATAGAAGACTACAAAACAACAGACAATCCCACAGTGTAAAAACTGCCCGCCATGTGCTAATGCAAATGTCCTAAGTACATTTTAGTTCATA